AGTATAAAATATTAAAATTGATAACAACGATTTACTGGTTAATCAAGTATATTTATCAATCAAATTGAATAGACTCTCAAAAACTCTCAAAAAAAAAAAAAAACTGTAATAGAATCAGAATAGGATAAGTTAAAGCTGTCAATAGAGCAGAAAACTATGACTTTAATGCATCCATCTTATTGTATATTGTATAGAAAACTGTTTTCTTTTCTTCCTCCTGGTCCGATATTAATTTTATTTTAATTCCATATTAATAAAGCTTAAGAGAATTTTTTTCGAACTTTGGTTTTCAATTTCGAATTGGTCAATACCTATTTTTATATAAGGGTTAAATTAGTTTCGAAGGACGCTGAAGAAACTAAAAACTTTTTATTAAAAAGTATCTCAGATTTTATTGGCAATTCGAAACTGTTTTACCAACTTTCTAGAAAGTAAAACATAATCGTTATTTTTCTCACAGCTGAGACATGTTTTCTCAACTCAAATTCATTTCAATATTAATACTATCACAGGGTGTATTTCTAGATGTATTCCTATATGATAGGGAACAACCTTCCCACAGATCTCTACGTTTCTTCTTCTTATCTAATCTAAATAACGTACTATTTAGATTTTTCAGGCGTTCCGAATGTATTGTTAAAAAATAGACGAGATGAATAGGCTACCTCATTCGCTTTGTATCTACCTACGATATCCATGCGTCCGGTAACCTAAAAACTGATAATGTTTAACTCTTTGTCATATCATTCAGAGATATTTAAAGCAGCTTGACTAGCAATACATTACTCTTCTCATAACAAGCTATTGGCTTACTCAATAATAAAAAGTTTTGCTTGAAAGATACTACATTGATCTAAACATGAATGTAGTATCATCAATGATCTATAATTCGATTCAACTGGTTATTTAAAAAAAATATTCCACTAATTACTCCGTTACTAATTTTACAACTATCAGAATAAATATTTATACTTCTTTTTAATGAAAACGCCCATCTAATGTTACACCTCTCACTCAACATCCAGATTTCCTTAAATAGAAAGTCAACATAAACTTTTCTGTTTGAATAGAATTTTTCAAAAGGTTTCTAAAAGTCGTCATTAAAATAATTTTGTTTGCACATGCAATCAGTCTCAATCAGTCTCCTCTACATTAGAGTTCGATACGACATGAACTTCAACTTCCTGGATCATACGATTTTATGCTATCGCATATTAGTGGCTCTTAGCAGAGCAGCGCATTACAGTCTTTACAGAAATACAAATTGATTTTAACTAAACAAAAGGCATTCAAGTTTTTGAATGAAGACCAACATGTTACCTATTACGAATTTCCGAATATCAGACGGAGTTAAGAGCTGCTGCCCCCAGTATTCTCCTCTTGGCCCAGATCAAAGTCAAACAGTCTTAAGGTACGTAATTAAATGTTTCATCTGCAACTCAGCAGAGACAACATTCTGTCTGCGCATGGTCGCTTATCTTGTCGAGATGGTAACATAACTCATGCTGATCTGCATGCAATCCTAGCTCTGTACTACTTCTTAGGGACGTCTTACCATAAAAAGGGAACATCGTCATCCAGTTGATTGGCTTCAATAATCATCTTGCTTGATTGTGAATAGTTTTGTGTTTGAATATCATTATCTATGAACTATAGACATTCATTTTGACATTTCTCCCGAAGTTGGTCATTACAACACAACGAAAGAGAGCATTTTATTTGACATTTTTATTCGATAAATTATTGTTCATACTACTTTTCATTCGAAAATCGTTATGTATTTCAGAGTGTTATCTTTCAAATTTTTACAACTTTGATTAATGGCAATCAAACGATTGCTTTAAATATTCTAAGTACACATTAGATATGATATACTCTAATACAACCGTTAATGTTAGTTGATTTATGGAATATAGGATTCCATGGAATATAAGATAGTGATATTTACAAACAGAAACTAAAGGTCAGCGTTCAAAAAGTGTGTGCACAAAATTAAAATCAGGATTACACACTATATCACAACTTACTCGGTTAATTATATAAAAAGTATATCATATACGCATATGCTTCAAAGTATCTGCAATAATAATATATTCGACACACAAAGAGCAATTCAAAATATTAAAAAAAAATTTTAATACTCCTCAAATCCACTTTCGCAATTTCGGCAAGTTGTACACCCCCATTTTCGCTCTTAAATGTACCTCCGTTTCGCACACAATGTCATTGGCTTGTATTTGTATTGATTTTTTTTTTACTACCGCTCAGAAGTTATTTATTTTAGGCCATTTAGGTTACCGACATTGGCGTAGTCAGCACTTAACTTTATTGAGGGGTGCATTGTTTTTTTTTTCGAACATTTTTCTATGAGAAAAACAACAAAAATAGCGTGAACGTTGCCCATGGAATAAACTAAAGTTAGTGATAATAACGACAGCAAAGCCAAACTGACTGCAACGCAGCTCAACTCCGCATATTTCGAATTCGATTTGAGTTTGAGATAAGCACAGGCGCTGCCTACCCAACATAATGGCCCAAAGTTTGCTACACCCATGGTTACCAGAGCACATTTGTTCTTCCTTGTTGTATATATATGTGTGTGTGGGGTTTTTTTCTATTTTTCTAAAAAAATATTTTTTGTTAGTGATTCGAAATAAAAAATTCAAACGGAAGTGACAGTGAAGAATAGAAGCATTACCGCAGGATATGATTCAGCAAAGGAAAGGACAATGCGAAAGCACCATTCCCCATCGATTCGATTACGAACAATAAAAAAATGTTCAAAACAATAGACGCATTGAAAACTCACTCAAATAAAAGCCGTGAAATTTTCGTTTTATGAATTTTAGATATTAATTTTCCGTTCTAAAAAATGAAAATTGGAAAAAGCATTGAGTAAGCTTTCACATTTGTATTTTCAGGGTTTTATAAAGATTTCTTTTCAAATGTAACTAACTGTAGTAGAAAATAGTGTGTATAGCTCGATTATTTAAATTTCATTAAAGGAATTAGGTTTTTACCTGATTTACTCTACAGAAAACTTTTTCTGAAAATCTTATTTATTGGTTTCTGAATCCAACTCGACAAAATATGTCTATAACAGCCAATAGATCTTTTCGAAATTTCTTTATTCTTAAGTTTTTAAACAAAAGCTGTATATTTCTGATATGCACATTTTTAAAATATAATAAAAATCTTAAACCCGCTATTATCATTATTATTATTGAAAATGACAGAAGTCCAAAATTATTTAACGTGATTACCTGACGTGCAGGGTCAACACAACGGTGCTCTTAACACACGTTAACGCCTCATTGGAAATCCAAAGAATTTCACTGGTATTGAAAAAACAGTAGTATAGAGTTAGCTATTAAATCTAGTGTGTATTTCTGTCAATAAAAGTCCTACTCAGATATAACATTAGTTTTCTGGCAATCGCTAGGCATAACCGCATAATATATGCAAATATATTAGTCACTATTTTAAAGAATCTTCAGTTGTTAGTGTTAAGCTGTCTCATTTACAAAAGATCATAGTCAACATAAGTATATCCAATTAAGAAACCAATGATTTATCAGAATTCAGATCTATTTAAACCGAAAAATCAGTCAACACTTTTGTTACTGGTTAGAATTACCTTAATTATCTTAGACATTTGGAATAGAGATAAACATTTCTAAATTGTTTATAATTAATGCTTCTAAATACTAACGAACTGTGACAACTCAATATCACCTTCTTTGTCGCCATGTTTGCAGTATAATATATGCTCTATATATATCGACAAACTGGATGAGGTCAAAATTAGGCTTTGGTCATACATTTCATGTTAATTTAATATTAAAAACCAGGATTATGTTGTTGGTGTTGTAACCCGGTAGGACCTGTAAGCAGATAACATGAAAGGACATATAAGACGATTATATGGGTAGGGAACTGGGTAGTTAGTGGTTGGGGGAGACGGATTGAGAAAGAGGATGAAGAGGATTGGAATTATTATAGGTTGCAGTGAATACATATATAAATTATTGGATTCACACCCAATTTAGAATAGTGAAATAGTGAAATCACACTGATTGCAAGCATTTCATACTGGTTTTACTAGATATTATTAAGAAATCAATAGGTTTCTCTCACACATTGATGACTTACGATTAGCTCAGATTAGTAATGTATTCATTAATAACACTACCTGTAGTTTTAGAAAATTAAAATCTAATCCATGTATCAACGTTTTTTAGATAGATTGAACAGATTGAAGAACTGTAATGCACTTTTTTGCTTATAAAGTGAAAGATTTAGTAATACCAGCATCCTGAATATCTTTAAAATTCTATCGAGAAGACAAACAAAAAAATATCTATCAACTTTAGATATTCAAGTCTATAAAACTTATGGATTATGACTTGGATTCTGCTTAAATCGTGAACTAAAAAATTGCTAAATCTTCAAGTTGCAACCTCATGACGTGAACCCTTGACTCGAATAGAATTAATACCAATGTAGTCAAATTTGAAGTTTTCGAATATAGAAAAATTGGTAAAGGCTTTTATGGGGACAAAATAAACAGTTTTATATGTCAACACTTCAGATATAGATTGCATTAGTAGTTCTGAATTTGTGAGTTTAGTTCTGAAAAGCGATAACTATTAATTGTTTTCTAATCTGTCCATGTCCATTCTATGTGCTCAGAAGTAGAAATAATCAATTTCGTTGCTTTTATTTATTAATTACAAAACAGTTTCAGTTGATAAGTTGAGCAAGATAAATTGATAAGTATCGCAAAGGCAATAAATTATTACATTATCGATGCCATACGTGTTCTGGGTTCTTGTTTTCGCAAATACTAAACTTGATATTGAGCGTAAATGAAATAATCTATCACACAATAGTCAGTGACAACCAGTGGCGATTAGATTATCGCGTTCTAAGAATTGTTCACAACTTATCGATTGATTTCCCTGCACCTACCACCGCACTCAAGAGATTTGACTAAAGAATGATAATGATTAAAAATATTTCTTTATTTAATGGTTTCTATATTGAATTGCGTAACTTAAAGCTTAATGTAAAATACTGTAAGCCCATTGCACTTCCGCTATCCAGTCCACGTAAGGTGAAACTCCTGTGTAAACGGTAGGACGTCCATTGTATCCACAAGGCAAATAACCCCATGATGTAATACCAATCAATTCGACGGTTCCACCCCCACGTTCCACTACTAAAGGACTGCCACCATCACCGAAGCAAGCAGCTACTCGTACACAAATTTCCTTCTGAGCAACGGGTGCATCGGAGGGCAGTGCGTCAGAGCAGTGAGTAGCATCTAAAACTTCAGCTCTAGCTACTTGCAATTCTTTTTCATATGACACCGCTTCAGTACTATTCAGCCCCCAACCGTATGTGGTAGACCATTCACCAGCGAAATTCTCATTCGGATATGGCAAAGCGATCGATCTAACGCTTGCATCAAAAGAGAAAGGCTGTGATACATGCAACAAAGCAATGTCGTCTGAACCCTCTTCTCCACTGAATTGTTTATGTGAAAAGGCGAAGTCAATGTAACGCACTTGTGCTTTTTCCAACTCTGAGCGATCATGTATTCCAGCATATATGGGAAGACCAACAACGTCCCCGTTAAGATTTTGCAAATCATGCACACAATGCGCTGCAGTCAACACCCATTCCTTGTTAAGTATTGTACCAGCACACATATGTGCATAGGCCACTGAAGAAATACTCAAGGACACAATGTAGGGTGCAAGAGTTGTCTTGACGGGTTCACCAGCAATTATACGAGTCTCAACATCTACAATAGGTGGCGCACGCTTCTGCAGCAAAGCCTGCTGCAACGACTTAGGCGGTGCGCCATATACCGCGACCGCTAACAATAAAACTACACCCAACACTTTCATAGTTGCGCGATGCGATATTCACGAAATGAGTTCTCAAGAAACAATAGATGGAATTAATCAACCTAAAGCCAAAAATTATTTAAAAGTGACATTTCTGATAATACTTTAAATAGTGAAGAGAAAGAAATCGAAAAAATTTTGGTAAGAGCGCACTCTTTTACTAAATCTCTAAGTACTTTTATCGCTTGTCTTGAAATTTATAACTTTTAGATTATTCAATGAAAGGTATGTGACGAGTGGCGCTACTGTCGTCAATTTTATGTGAAGTGAACCAAAAATTCATTAGTTTATGTTAGGTGGGGCATTCACATATCTACCACAAGGCATACAAACCACCGACAAGGTGAATTCACAAACTTCAAAATAACTATGCTCCGGAGGGTCCGGAGGGTATAGCGACTATACGAGTATACAAAAACTTATTTCAATAGCTACAAATACGTATTTATAGCAGCTCCCTTTATTGGCTTTTTGCATGCCCACTTGACATTTCAATGCCGCGAAACTTATTACACTGAAAAAAAAACTGCATTCGGTATAATTAATAAACTTTGTTATTTCAAATAGTTTTCACAAATAGGCTGGCATACACAAACACACATAGACATTACGTATGATCTACGTATGATTTTTCTACTTATCGGTTTTAAGGTTTGGCAGGTTGTGCAATTATAGCACAACCCTGTTGAAGACCTACTTTTTTATTCTTTTACTTGGTTTCGGGGTCAACCATTGTGACCAATTTTAACTGTATTCTAAACATTTTATTTTTGAAACAAAAAGTTAAGACTATAAATTAATGAAACAGAATATAAACCGAATATTCACTTTAAATTTGATGAGATAATGCGAAACCAGTTTGTAATAATATTTGCATTGATATTATTGAGAGATATATAGCAGCACCTCGACTTTTAAATGTATTATGATCTCGTTATACAGTCTATAAATAATTCTCTGAGAGCTATTTTCTCAATATATTTTAGTAACTGTCGAATTTGCAGATTTGTAATTGACTAAAAAATTTCATAAAGTCACCCGTTTCATGAAGTCATTCGTTTGTACCTCGGTAGAAAAGTCAGCATTTACTTCATTGACTCCTCTTCCTCTTTGCAAAATCTGCAGATATCACTAAAGATAATAATCCGTTTACATAGACATTAGTTTAATCTAATGGTGAGGACTCTATAAAAACTCCAGTGGCACCGTTAAAAACAATGTTTTCTTAATCAATTAATCAACTCTACAAAATAAAATGATCCCCTTTATATACACAGACAGTGTGCAATTACACTTCTGGGCAGCCTAAACGGAAAAATAGTTTTACATTCAGAATAGAGCGAAACATTTTACATTAGAACAAGAATAGAACAAGATAATTGATTTAAAACTAATTTGTGCTGGTAAAGGGTCCGTTGCATTCTGAGATGTACTTAATCGATCATAATTGACTACTACAGTTGAAGATGATATCACACTTTTTACACAAAACAAAAGATATATTAAAAAAACTTTTTTGGAATATAAAGGTACTACCTGTTAAACCACTTCGTAATGAGTAGAATAATGAGTGCTATAACAAATAAATAAAACGTATTAAAAACTACATTCAGTGTTAAGAGAATCACTTTGAGACAATACAAATCCTTTACGTTGAAGATCTAAAAGAAATGGTTTCAACTAGTCTTGGAATAGCAATCACCCCAATCATGGTTCACATGGGTTTGACGTATAATAATATATATTAGATTAATAGTTAAAATCAGTTTAAGTGCCTATAACAAGATTGTATTACACAGTTCCTAACGATATACATCCATTTTTAAAATACGCATTAAATTTAAAGTTTAAAGCCATACCTAATACATTCACACGAAAATTTTTAATACTATTTATTTGTGTTGTCCTCAAGAATGACAGAGACAACTTTTACTTTTACTAATATATGTTAGTGCCGCCTAAAATCCCAAATCAAAGTTTTCAACTTCTATAAGTGAGCATATCAGAACACATTAGCAAATTGAAAGATACATGTTGAAAAAGCAGCGAAGTAAAAAAAGCAAATAATTATATCAGTACACATTTCAAACTGACCACTCCACTTTTCATATCGCCATTCCACAGCAATAATGACAACATCAATACTACTGCCAACACTGATGTTTTTGCCACGACCCGTTCTCCACTGACAACCACTGACCAATGTCACCTTCGTTCCATCATTACTAACCTCCTACAACATAGTATGTTATTATTGCAAACTTTATGCTAGAGAAGGCATACACGCATCCATGAAGCATTCGACTGTTGTTCCGTCACCTACATTAAGTGCTGGCAAATGAGTTCATCTCGGAGTAAAAGCACAAGCCAGCCAACACAAGCGTTGCATTATGGAAGCTACATGCTCCGCATCATGGCATGAATTTTATGTGAAATTGGCAGCGTTAATTTTTTTTCCTTTCAGTTCGGTGGCTGTTGAAATTGTGATTTTTATTTTTAGACTTACATATTTGACTTATTAGAAACGATTTTATTTGAAACCCCCTAAGTAAGAGAGCGACTAGCATATTTACCAGTGGAAATAAGTGGAAATAAGTGGAAATAAGTGGAAATATCATTCACTACACAACACTATACGTAGCCACAGCTTGCATGTATCCTTAAATTGACCTTGTTCATCTATGTAAGTGAAGTGCATGCAGCAACTCTGAATACAACGAATACGAATATAATGCGCAATAAACGACAGGACATTATTACTGCTTGTCATAACTACTTTCACATAATTTCACGCAATTTCACATTTATGAGTGTGGTCAGTCACAACACTTAAATGAGAGTGCATCTGCACATTGCATTTAATTACCCATGAAGCTTATACTCGTAACGCTGCAAGAGGCTGTTATCCTACACTCCTTAAATTCGCATTTAACACTTCTGAATAGCGCAATCCCCAAGCACAGTTGCATATACACATCGGTAGGCCTTTGATTTCGAAATGTCAAGGATAGCAGCGGTTTTGTTACATTGATCCATTTGATTTCATGGTTCCACGCCACTTATTTGCGCACACACTGATACTTGCAACACGAAAACCGCCACATCATTGTATTTTTATTCAATTTTTAATTATCGATAAAATCATATTAACATAAATATAACACATGGATGATTATTTCCGAGCGGTTAAGAGAAATGAAAGGACTGTTCCACGTATTATAAACAACAAATAAATTCTGTGGTAAAAGTAACCCGCGAGTAATCAATTCAAGCAACAGTACACGATGTGCGCATTCCAAAAACTCCAAGCAAAGGCTCCCCATCATCGCCACACTTGATCAAAGCTTTTCCTACACTCATTTCACTCAATAAAAACAAAATAAAACATTTTAATGTGAAAATGTTATGTTTATTATGTTACACTCATTTTAATAGACACATAACATATTTACATAAAAGTAATATGTTACTGTAATGGCATTTTAATCCAAAATGTAGGAGCATAGTTTAGTCGACGTGAACGCCTTACATTTAATAATATCGCTTGGGTGAGAAAATCATTGCAGATGTGAAGTTTATAAATATTTTATGTTTTTCCATCCATCCGGACAGACGGACGGTACTTTCCACATACATACATACATACATATATAAGTATTTTTATTATTATTTTATTATTTTAATCATCATTTTAATATCCTTTTTATATGATGTGTTTAAGAGAAAAACTACAATTGTAGTACATTTAAAGATACTCCGGAGATATACAATATGTGTGTCATGTTGCTAATTTTGAACACCTCATATATTATATATATATTGTATAATAAAAATAGTGTTGTATATATTAAAAAATAAAAAAAAATAACTATTTTCAATGCTCTACAGTATCTACACAGATAGTTCTGTTATTCACAATTTCCATAAAAATTTCTTCTCAAATAACATTTAAATTAAACTTTTAAAATAGGTTCGTTTAAAATAGTAGTTATTTATAAGCACTTCATAATGGTCACTCCATTATATTCCATTCCATTTATATTTAAAATTCTTAATTGAATTCAGCTTTTATAGCTGCTTTTAAATAGTCTTAGACGTAAAGCCTCATCGAGTTATTTGTCAGAATACAAACAGACAAATATACGAATTTGGATATAATTGAAATCCATCTTATTGCGCAAATGTAATCCATTGCATATATCGTAATAACATTTCTATATCATCAATTCACAAGAGTGTAAAGGATATAACACAGATAGGTAAGGAAACAGAAATTTCAGTTTTAGCTTCACTTATGTTTCACAGCCTTTCATTCATGCACTTTTTTATAAACCAATCTTTCACGACACACGAATACATATTAGTATTTTTCAGTTATATTCCCAAATTTGTATTTCAGATACCCAATTCAGCACCCTTACATTCATAATAAATTAAAACTTATTATCAACCAATTCTTCTTATATGTCAAATTGATCGGCTTAAAAATATCCGAGACATCTAAAACTAATAACTAATGTTGGTGAATCGCTCTACTTTCTCTTACAGACCAAGTATATATATTAAATATATGCCCTCTCATGTCTCTTTCACTGCTTTATAATCAAATCTTGACAAATCTGACACAATTTATATTCACAGTAGTATAAAGATATTAAAAATATATATCGATTATATTCACTTTAAAATTATCTTCATTTTTACCTACATTGTAATCTATAGAAGTTTTCTTTCATTTCAAGAGATTATCACTGATTCAAATCCTAGAATAAATTATATAGAGAAGACCCATATTTTTAAGTATTTTACAACATATACGGCCTGAAATAATATATGCGGTCGTTAATGTTCAACATCATTTAAAGCGTTTTATTATAGAAATCTATTCATTATTTACTACATACTATGGTTAGCTAATTAAAAATGATTTTCTGATGAAATATTATAATTACTTTTTTGATCTTGTATTATCATAAACTTATTTGCAGTTTCTTTATGCTATAAAATAATTTTAACAGTTGAAAGTTGACTCCATTATTAATAATGCTTTTAAAATAACTCGAATCGACGGG